TTTACTTTACTTTTTACTTACTGGGGATAGGAAAGATATAGACAATGAAGATCCCCCAGTAATCACTGTATACAAGGCTGACTGCGACCTCAGAGGTAGTCTGAATGTGGTGTCAAAGACAAAAATTTCTTCCTTGCTGGGAATCAAACCTTACCTATCACACCCACAGCCAGTCACTATACCAATTAAGCTATTCCAGCTTAGCAGGTTATAAATATGAATATAAAACAATACCTCTTCATTGTAAACAAATGTAACATTCAGCTTCTCTGCTTTGTGTGGGCTCAAATATAATGTCCCTTCCAAACCATATTTGGGGATTAGAATCTGGAGAGCATTCTTACGTACATATAGTACATAGCCCTGCTCATCTTGCACCTTGCCTCGGAAGAACAGCTGCAACAGAATTAGTAACTTGTATCTATAACTGTGGGCTATCCTACATACATAAAAGACAATGGGTCTTAACAAATTTTATTTCCAATGGGACCACCTGTCCAAATTTATACTTTCCATTTCGGTATTCATACAATGGACTATGATATAGTTTCTTCCATACAATGGTAATGAAATCAATTCATCGGACAACAATAGCAAATCAAATCCCAAATCCCAAAAATATTGTCATACTGCTTGGCTCTTTAAGATATCATGTAACAGAGCTCAATTTAAACTGAAACCAAAGTGTCCCATGACAGCTTAATGGAAGTATAAATCCAATAGAATCTTCTTGAACAAACTATGCAACAAATCATGGTTCTGTGTGTTACTCTGAGTGGTTGTGTAAACAGATTCACCAAGTGAAGTGCAGAAAATCATCATGTATTTCACACACTCAAACCAACAGCTTTGTCATGAGTCTAAAAATATTTTTTTCAACATGAAAAGACTGCATGAAGGCAAAAAGGGACACTTCAATGTCCTTGTGTGAAATAAGGTATATTACATTTATGGGAAAAAGAACATTGCAATTTCTCAACAAAGGCTCCATTGCCATGCACAAGTTTCAGAACTGCATATTCTGTATTTTGTAAAAAATCCAACAAATGCACTTTCTTATGTGGACAGATTAAGTGTGTGTGTGTGCGCGCGCGCATACATGCACATTCAGGTGTATGCAAGCGGGTGCATGGGTGTGTATGTGGGTGTGCACATGCACTAGTAGTCCATACCAGGAATATTTTATAAAAATTGTTAATAATTAATATAAGTTACAATTAGACCTAGTTATCACTGCCCAAAACAAAGTCCTGTTTTATTCACACAGCATATACCAAAGATGTACAAGACTGATAACGTCGTGGCCAAATGGCTGGTCCCCTACTTTGTATCCAAGAGATCCTGAGTTCAATTCTCAGCATGTCTTATCTTTTTCTGGTTTTATCCAATCCCTCTATGAAAATACTGAGATGATGTTGTAGTAGTTGTTCCTTGGCTCTACAACACAGTTGTGGGTCTTTGTTGCCTCCTTTTTTGGAGATTTCCTAATCTCTGAAGTGTGCATTTATGAGTAGTGAGTGACCAGCCCACTGACTCCTTTACTGAGATAGTACTTTAAATTAGGCCTTGAATTCTGCAATATTATGTAATATTTCATAGTATGGACTTACATGTGTATGAAGAGCAACAGACGCTCGTCCTGCATACTGTGCCATGCGATTTCTGTAGTTCAGATTATGTGACAAAGTTTGAGACTTTCTCTTGTCCAGGAGTTCAGGGTATGTCACATCTGCACCAATACTCACAGCCAGCAAGCGATGAACAATAATATCTGCATACCTGTAACATATTAACAGTTTCACTTCAAAAAACAGATAAGAAATTTAACTCAGAATTCATAAAGAAATTTGACAACCATGGCCCATTTTCCCTCATATACAATTGAACAGGAAGTTCTGGAAACAATTTATGATACCTACTTTCCTTAAAATGCTTAAACATATATTGTTACCCAAGCAGAAAGTATAAATTAACATGACTGAAAGGATGTACTCATTGGAGTACACTGGAATTCTGAAGGTGTTCTTCATACCACATCATGAGTGATATTGTCAGCAGGGTGACCAAGGAAGAATACATATATACAACAATAGTATTGAAAGCAAAAGACGGTACACAATACTGCAAAATTATGATGTGGTCATTGTTGCAACAGTGTAATCAAACAATTACCCCATTCATGCAGCTGCAACAATATGCTTTAACAATTACCTCTATTCATATTGTTGTAAGTGTGCTCCAGTAGTCATCTGAGTTCATGTTGTTGCAACAATGAGGGTGGATGCAAAGAGGTGTCCTGGTCTGGTGGCCAAGGATGAAGACAGTAGGCCCATGGGGCAAAGCACCTGCAGCAGCAAGTGCTGGAGGCTTGACTCTAATGAGAATGCATGCTTGGAAAATGGCTGGGTGGTAAATCCTAAGGGAAGACAGACCCAATCTTAAGGATGCCTTTCTGAAGGTAAAGCAGGTCTGTTTCTAAAGCGTTAATTTCATTCTTACAGACAAACTGACTTCGTAACACTATTCTGTTTGGTGCTTTTATTAGAAGCCAATTAAGAGTGCAAAGTATGCAAAGTAATATCATTTTAGTTCCTTATAAACCAATTCTGTTAAGAACAGTGACTCATACCTTCTGATGGGTGAAGTGAAGTGTGTATAGATAGGAACAGCAAGACCATAGTGGAAAAATTCATCCCTCTGAACCATTCCACTTGCAAAATAGACAGCTTGCATCATGCAGCGAGTTGCCAAAATGCGCAGCATAGTGTTGAAAAATGCATTGTCTGGTCTCACAGCATTATCAAGTGATAAGGCCAGAGCCTTTCCTGATTCAATGTTGATTTCAAAACCCTAGGTAACAAGAAACAGACATGAGTTGAGAAGGAAGACAGTGGGGCTGG